CCCCCCCCTCAGAACTCGCGAACGGTTTTTGGTAGGACCACCAAATTTTCAGAGGATGGTGTACTAGTAAAAATTTATCATACGTACAATTTTTATGTCGTTGTGACGTAATATGACGTCATTATGACGTCATTAATGTGATTTTATTGGCCAAAACCGTCTAGATAGGTTATTCCCTGAAAACTAAACAGTATACGACATAACTTTACCAAAAGTGTTTATGACAGAATATTTGGATGTACTAAGTCTTATGTTGCCCATAGCAACACCGGTGACGTCATAAAATGACGTCATGCATATATTAACTATCCGCCATCTTGGATCATCAATCTTGAATTTAAAAAAAAGTTTTTTTCAGGATAAAGCCTAAAATACATTGTAAACAGACTAAAGACATTCATATGAACCTTTTTTGTAAAAGTAAATGGGAGTATTGATGAAATTTTAAGGAAAATAAGCTGTATTTACCTGATCTTATGATATGGTCCGCCATCTTGGATTTTGGCCAATGACGTCATCAAATTAGCATAAAGTATGCATTTTAATGATTAAATTTACATATGATTATATGTGATGTTATTAATATTAGAAACAAAGTGTAACTTGACATAAAACCCATAAAATTCTGTTGTTTAAATGGAAATTATTAAATTTGGCAAAAAATGCCTGTCAAAAGATACATTTGTAAATTGTTTTCTGAAATTCTGTGTCTTTGAATAGTTGGAGCAAAATAACTACCGAGCCGAGTAAAACCATTTCGGCACTGGGCTTCTGGTGCTTACGTCGGCCGCGCGGCGTGCAAAACAGTATCTTAGGCCAAGTCTTTGTCTGTGAATATGTAAGAAAAGAGGCCGTGCAGTCGTCCTGTCCTGCCGATAACCTTGTTGTCCCTATTAAACTTTGTTACCCAGGCGGTATGATCTCGAAAATATGAGTGGCAGCATCTCGATACCCTTTTTAAAGACAAGATTTGATTTGCCGATTCCGAGTTTCCAGTGCTGAAGCCGCCGACACTGGACACCAAGTGTTGACGTACATTCGGCACTGGAGATCTAGGACGGAAGCCGCCTCACCTCATCTCTGTATACCGAGTGCTGAGAAAGGAACTCTTTACTTCGGTACTTGCATTATTTTCACTCCAAATACACCAATTCTTACATTGCTTATCTGACATTTCCAGCTCAGATTACCTGCCGCGCCGTACGGAAGGATGCTGTTCAACCCGATTGTCGAATGGAATCGACCGCAAAGTGGGCGTGGCGCGGAATGCTGGTCACCCATTGGTCGCCGCTAGGCTATGTGGATGCGAAATTGATCAAACCCCCCCCCCCCCGGTCCTAGATAGGGTTAAGGTGTGCAATTATAACGCATACCTTCTAGCAGCTGACAGATGAATGACCGGACGTTTTGGCAGGGTGCATCATTCCATTCCGCACCACGCATTTCGGCACAGTCTTCGCGACCACCAAAATCGTTCGGCTCACCGGGGCCCCAGTTGGTATAGCCGGTAGACGCCAGGGCTTGGCCGTCTTCAAATACCCACTGCCCTTCGACCGTGGCGTCAGTCAGACCAATCCAACGATGTTGATTTCCACCTCCTGCCAGGTTGTAGATGAAAGTGTTGATCGCGCCATTCTTCGGCATGGCTAGCAGTCCCCCGTCTGCCGCACACGTCTGTTTGGCAGCAGCATACGTCTTAGACTCAGCAAAGGCCTTGTAGCAAACTCCATTAGAACGGACGTAGCCTGCTTTTGGACACCCTGTAAAAAAGGAAACGAGAATAGGTGACTTGATGAAAAATTTCATTCACTAACTTAAAGTATACGCTAAAAACTGAAAACAGTCAACCATTTGATTTGATTTATTATGATGGTGTGGTGAAACCATATTGTCTTTGCTGATGATTCTCCTCCTCCTTCTTCTTCTCCTCCTGCCATTTCTTTAAATGGATTCAGCTTCTTCATTTTAGGGCCTAAGGTCCTGAAATTTGGCATGGAGGTACAGTGGGCAAATACCCCTAGGCGTTTTTTAAATTTTTGTGATACAAGCTTTTACAATCGTTTTATTTGCTTTTTTAGCGGTCCCATAGGAAAGTACTGTGCGGGGGCGTACGCGCGTGACGTAATAAGAAAGAAATTCGGCGGCATGCCCATATATGGGCATGCAAGCATGAACCTGACGCAGCCTAATCTTTTCTTCTTGCTGATTGGCTGTTGGATTTGATTGGATTAACTCAATTAACACCTGTTCAAAGCCATTCCATTTTGACAGTATGAACTCAAGTGTTTTGGTAGGTACAGCACAGGCCACGAAATACGCATCAATTTTCGAGGGACGTTCTGCGGGAGAGTGCAGGACGCTGTGCGGGACTTCCCTCGGGAGAGTGCGGGACGTCCTCCGGGAGAGTGCGATACGTTCTGCGGGAGAGTGCGGTACGTCCAGCGGGAGAGTGCGGTACGTTCTGCGGGAGCCAGACATTTTGCTCTTCTCTGTTGGAACAACGCAAGT